AAGTTTATATGCTGTTCCTTGCCAGTAGTTCAGTTTGTAATTAATTTAGGGGGGGAGAGTGTCGTGGATCTTCTGTTCTGCAGAGCCATTCTCTGCTTTATTCCGCTACGTCTCTTCTCTACCCCTGCTTGTCCTCGTAATAAAAACTTCCAGTAATCACTTGAGCAGTTTTGTGTGTTATTCTTAGTGGTTAACACTTTGATACATTAACACCTCATAACATTTCACTTTGAGTTGTTTTCTTCTCCCCCATGACTTTAGCATTTAAGAATGTAAAGACACATTAGGATTTTGGATCCTGTTTTTTGGATGTTCCTCCTTACAGAGGCTTATTCACAAATGGTTATTTTGCTCATACTTTTTCTTCTAATGGGCATTAAATTGGCCCATTGTTTGTCACACCTGTTCTCTGAGCTGCTAGTTGGCGTATTCGAAAATTCAAAGTGTATAGCAATAACTTTTGCTATCTAAAAGGCTTTTCTTCTGCTTTACTCTATTAATATAAATGTAGGTTTCTTGATATTCATTTTTGAAGCAGTTTTTCAATTTGGCCTTTGTCGTTGTTTTTTAAGACTTTAGAATGAGTAGTCCAAATCTTAGCTACCTAATTTGCTATTTAATTGAAACTGAAAAGTAATTAATATGTTCCACTTGGTGTTGCTGCTTTGAGACCTCTCAATCTTTGTTGAAGGTTTTGAATTAGAATCTTGCTGTTTTATTTAGTGGCTTTCTGGATCTCCAAAGCGGTGCTTGTCAGAGTGTGGTCAGCAGATCACCTGCATCGGCCTTGGAACTTAATAGTACAGCTTCCTTGAATCCATCCTAGATCTAAAAATCAGAATTTTGAGGGCTCAGAAATCTGCATTTTAAAAAGCTCTGTGGATGATTGTATGCACACAAAGTTTGAGAACCTCTGCCTTGAAGTCGCTCAGCACTTATTTACTTGGGATTTATTACCTAATATTTTCCAGGACATACTTGATTGAGTTTTGGCCTTCCTTTGGTCTCTCTTTGATTTGAATTCTGTGAAGAATACTCTTAGGAAGGAGTTGGGTCATACTTTCCCTGGTATTCAAAAGAGTTACAGAGACGATTAGACTCCAACAATATTATCAAAGCCCAAGTCACGAGACCCTCTTAGACCTATTGTGTGTGGCACTGTGGAGTAGAGAAGGGCAACGGACGTACACACGATGCTTAGAAATCACCTTTCTGGGTCATCGAGGACTACTTAGTACATTAGACATTAGACTATAGCTAGTCTAAGCCATGGAGCCTTATAATAATAGTAATTAACATAATGATACTTTGTGTTTCTCAAGTATCTTTAAACTGAAAGCCTTAAAGTGCCTTATTAAACGTAGTATGCAACACCCTGAAAAGAGAGGTCAGTGTTAAAAGTTTCTTATTTTATAGATTTAAAACTTGAAGCTGAATACAGAAGCTTAGCTTAAACACTTCTCTTGGATAATGACCCATTCAATTTGGAGAAACAGGAGTATTTCAAAGGAAACCTTTGTGATTTTGGGAGGTGGGGAAGTGATGGTAACAGAGTGTTCGCTATTTGGAATTTCAGGATCTATCCTGAATGAAAACAACCCTGTTTGGTTACTTTAATTAATGCCTTTAATAACTAGAGGTGTTTAATTGGAAAACACCATAATTTTTCTTATTAGCATTTTCGTGCTATAAATCCCATATTCCTTCTGGTTTCTTCATTTGCCTTTCCTTTCCCTTCTTTATTTTTTAATAATTTATAAAGTCAGAAAATGTTAAAAAAGGAAAAATAAAGAACCTTCTAGAAGGGAACTTAAAGATCGTATCATCAGTCCTCTTTGTTTTACATGACAAGATATGTGAGACTAGAAAAGATTAAGTAAAACACTCACCCAGAATGGCCCAGAAAGTTTGGGTATAGAAGATACGAAGTTCTACTCTTAGCAGACTTCACTTATGCAGTGCAGTGTTATCAACTGTAGTCACTATGTTACGCGTTAAACCCTCAGAACTATGCATCTTATAGCACAAGTCTGTCCCCTTTATCAGCCTCTCCCTATTTCCCCCGACCCCTCAACTCCTAGCAACCACTTTTCTACTGTTTCTATGAGTTCTTATATTTGTGTGTGTTTTTTTTATATATTCTTTGTCAAACAAAGTTGGAGTATGCATTAAATGAACACAGTTTAGAGTTGAGAATCATTTCAGGTCTTTCAGAGACCCTATCATCTTTTTTTCTGCCTATTTTTTCCCATTCACATTCTTTTTTTTTTTTTTTTTTTTTAACCTCAACTTTTGGGCCTATGGTATTTCATTGCTATTAGTACCTTTCAAATTTTCTCCCATTTGCTTTTTTGTATTCTTCCTATCATCTTTCTTTTCTCTTTTGCTTTTATGAACTAATACTGTTCCAATGTAATTAAATATATCAGCAAAATAAAATTGAATGCGTTTTTCAAAATCCTGAAGATCAACACTTTGGAAAAAGCGGACTTAAAGGATAAAGAAAAAAGAAAAAGTACTTTGAGATTTATGAAATATTTGAGTTTGGTTTTTTTAAGCGCTTCAACAGCTGTAGAAATAGATAATTTTTTATCTTCAGCTTCCGTTTGCTCAGCTGCAAGTGTATGCATAACTAGCACTGCTCTTATGGGTGATTTATGGTGACTTTTGCCTTACAGATAAAATGAAGAAGAGTTCCTAAGATAACAGATTAAGAATTTGAAGAGAAGAGGATAGGAAATTTATTTATTCGTCAAGTAATTGATTGATAGAAGGATCATTCCTCATAGAGTACATTGTATTTTAATGCAAGCTGATGAGAAATCTGGTGATTTATGCAACATTGTTCTTCATCTTCATACTAAGATGAATGAGCTACATTTACTCCATAAATGTAAAAGCACTTGAGAAAAATGGAAAGGGCCACACAAAAGCCTTGTATTAGTGATTTCTTTCTTTCTTTCTTTTCTTTCTTTCTTATTATTTATGCCTACAGAACCTGGTCTTCCTAGGTGGTCTCTCATTCAAGTACTAACCAGGCCTGACCCTGCTTAGCTTCCAAGATCAGACATCGGGCTTGTTCAGGGTGGCATGGCCATAGACCATGGACCATGGTTCCACTGGGGCGCAAACCCAGGACCTTCTGTGTGTAAAGCAGATGTGCTCACTGCTACACTAAGAAACCACGTCCGTATTAGTGATTTCTTATTCAAAACAGCTCAGTTCTATAAATATTTATTGGGAAGCTAAAAATCAATATTTGCGTAATAAGGGACTGGTGCTGGAGATACTGAGCTGTAGGATAAAGGTAGAAATGGTGAGAAAATAGTGTATTCATTCTTCCCTCTGGGGAAGGAAAATAACAGTTAGAGGGGCAGGAACACTAACCACATAGTTCCCCATAATAACCACCAGATGGGGCTGTCAGACATAGGCAGCTCAGTTGCTGTTCCATCCAGCTTCCTGTTGGATACTAGGTGGCGGAAGAAGTGTGAAACTAATTGTTGTATATATGGGTAATTCATAACACGAAGTGCCTGTATGTTAGGAAAAAATATTTACCTATATTTTCCAGATCACTTTACTGTTTTATTCCTTCTGAGAAGAAATTAGAGCAGTCTGATTAGATTTGTTTATGAAATAATGCTAGTTATTATTAGCTTTTCTGATGCTCGCAAATTTATCTTGATGCAAGTACAGATATATTTTACTCAGTATATGTACACAGTGTTAAGAAAGAGCATGAGAAAACTTATTTTCTATTTTATCTAAAAACTTATTTTCTATTTTCTCTACCTGTAATCTTGTCTTCCTAGTTAATTTCTCTTCCTTTAAGATACAGCTCAAATATTACCTCCTCTCGAAAACCCTTCTTGGCACCAGAGTTAAGAATTCTCTCTTTACTCCTACATGGTTACTTATGCTCTATAATAGTTCTTATCTTATTGAATTATCATCCTCCTCATCATCATCATTTTACCTATCTGTCTCTGCCACTAATTAGAAGATTCTCAAAACCACATATTATATATATTTCTATACCCACTGCAAGTACAAAACCTGGCAAGGACTAGTACAGAATAAGCAAGTTTTAAATATTTATGAATTCTAGTTTTTCTTAGACTATTTAAAGAATATTAAGTTATTAATAGTTACTGGGCAGTCTTCCCCAGGATTATAAATAAGCCATCAGAAGTTAGCTTACAAAATAATTGATTTTAGCAGACTTTTAGAAAGACGTATTTATCTTAACAGGGGAAAGGTTGGAGGGTTTGTTCCAAGGACCATGCAGTACATAAGGTTTATCTTACTTCAGATCTGCTTAGTGCAGCAGACCTATGGAATTTTAAGACTTATTTGGAATTTAAAATTTGTGGCTTATTTGGGATGCATTTTCTTATTACTTTAATTGAAAAAATATGTATAGCTCTTTTCCGTAAATGAGTTTAAGTAGTCTAGGGACATCTTTGAGTAGTAGACCAAATTTGATTCTATATTATAAATTTTTAAGTGGAACTTAATGGGAAAATATGATTCACTCTGTTCAGTTTGATAGAAATCTTTTTCATAGTCAAATTTTCTTTAAAGCGAATTGTGTATATTTCTTTAGAAAACAAATATATTGATCTGTAATATTTAGACCTCTGTGAGAATGAAAATAATTCCTTAAAGAAAATTGTAAGACTTCGTTTTTCCTTACAAGAATAACATCCCAGTCATTTCCCTGTGTATGGAAAATTTCCATTTCTCTAATCTTGACTGGAAAAGTTTCTCCTAGGCAATTTAGAAAACTAAAGAAGTATTTCATCATCTTCAGCAAACATTTATCAGGTGCCTGCTATGGGATGGTCATATTCCCAGTCCCTTAGAAAAACCCCCACTTATCTAAAGGTGAGACTCCTGGCAACCCCCAGAAAAAGAGCCTTGGTCCCTGGAGTCAGAGGAAGAGAGCCTGTGTAACTAAGTAACCTATTTTATTTTATATTTATTTTAATTTTTTATGCCTACAGCACCTGATCTTCCTAGGTGGTCTCCCATCCAAGTACTAACCAGGCCCGACCCTGGTTAGCTTCCGAGATCAGACTAGATCGGGTGTGTTCAGAGTGGCATGACTGTAGACTAAGTAACCTGTTTTAAAAATGTACTCAGCTATTTTGTTTTATACTGACCTAGTAATTATACAACAGATTAAGGGTAGGTAGGCTGTTATGGCTAGATATGCTTTGATAGCAACAAAAAGAACTATAAAAAGAAAAAAAAACACAATATATTAACTGACATCTTCAGTGATGGCTCCACATTATCAACAGAATTTGTACCAAAATTCATTAATTCTGTTTGGCAAATTATTCAAATGTGGTGAACTGTGGGATCAGACAGGCCTGGTTTCTAATCTCAGACATAAAGATATAATCATGAGTAATTTACCCAGCTATTCAAGCTGAGCTTTCTTACTGTGTTAGAAATATTGTGAAAACAATTAAAAAACAAACAAACCAGAAAGATATCTATCACAAATATAACAAGTTAACATATTTTCTGTACAAAATGATCAGAAGAACACAAGATCTCTTTGTAAAAGGATAAAAGATAGCGTCATTCAGTTTACAAAAGACAAAGCAACTAATGAGTTTGGAACAATATTCACCCTCACTTAATGATCCAAAAATTCAGAATAAAATAGCAGAATACTTGCTTCAGGTTTAACTCAGCAGGACAGTAAAACTATACAAATAAAGTATAAATCAGAAGCTCACATAGGGAGAAAAGAGAGATTCCCTAAGGAAAAACAAAAATGACTGCTTGTGTAGCATTCTCTTAATAAGGCAGCTTCCACTTTATGCTTCACAGCAGCTATAAAGCTATCAGTAGCAGAGATGGTTTCTGGTGAGGGGCTCCCCGTCACCATTCTGGATCTCAGTGTTATCACTGTTTGACTTCTGTAAGTTTCCAGCAGTGTTCATCTTCGAGGACTGACAATATTCACACTTAACATTTGTATTCTCCTTTTCTTAGACTTTTCTGGTATCACCTTTATTATTTGGAAGCCAGATTCTTACTCTTTAAGCATTATAAAAAGGCAATGTTACATAGCTTGAGACGTCTACCCTACTCCTTGATCCTAATGCAGTTTGTGCCTGCATTATTGTTATTTAATATTGCATGATTTGCAATTTGAATTTTTATGTAGGGATTATGGGAGGTTTTTTAAATAGAAAAAATTTAAAGTTGGCAGAATAGGAAATTTTTGTTTATTCTCATTAATGCCTTTGTTCTTTCTTTCTCTGTTTCAAGTTATCACCAGTGGTTTAAGCTGTTTGACAGCCTCAAATCTGCTTTAGTTGATGCCTGAAAATTTTACTGGTATGGAAACCATGTTTTGGAGCTTTAGCATCATCATCAAGATTCTCCTTTCACTTGAATGGCTGAGGGAGAAAACATTTGATCTGAAAATTCCTCCATTCTGTGAGAATTGATCTATGTCAGAGCACTTCAGGAGTTTTTTTAAGAAAAAATATATAGTCCTTTATTCATTCAGCCAACATTTTTGAGTGCCTTTCACATACTGGGCACTCCGCTAACACTGTCTCAGAGTGTAGAATAAGGATGAAGATGTCCAGCCCTCAAGAAGAATGCAGTCTGCTGGTAGAGACCAGCACAGAAGTAACCAGCTGGAGCAGTGTGGTGAATTCCACACTGGAGGTATGCGCACCGAACCCTGGGAGCCCAGCCACAGCCTGTAGAGCTGTGAGCTCTGTCTGCTTAAGCGCGCAAGGACATTGAAGGATGAATAAAATTTTTCCAGGAGGTGAAGAAGAGAACAAGCATTCTAGACAGAAGGGACATGTGAACTAGGCCCAGAGGCAAGAGTGTGCCTGGCATTTTTGGGCACTATGAATAGACCAATTTGGATGTTTAATCATGAGTGATCCTTGCTGTAGCTCAGTCATGTGCCAGAATTTAGTTAGGTTAAGGGTAATGATTCAGAAGGGTTTCACATCCTCAAAAAAAAATGTCAGAAAATTATTGGTATTTAGTATGTTTTTTTTTGTTCTGCTGGGTCTTGTGCACAGAGTTTGCTGTGCATTTAGGCCGTAGTCAGCGTCCCTCCAAGTCCCTAAGCCACCTCAGCCACCTTGCCAGCTGCATTAATGTCTCTCTTCACACATCGTGTTGACAGTGTTTTCCCCATTCACTCAGCCACAGTGTTGCACTGCAGAGGCAACAGTTTAAAGGAGCCCACGCCCGTGCCATGCTCGTACACACGGCCGCCACCCACACAGTCACGTAAATAGGCTTTTGTATTTCCTTCCATTATTCTTAATAAAAAGTTGAGCCCCCCGGGAGGTACTTGCTTTCTAAATATTTAGTGGCTTTTTTTTTTTTTTTGCACAAGTGCTAGCATCCAGCACATGTAAATATTACATACACGTTTATCCAGAGAACTGAATTAATTGAAAGGGACACAATATTTTTTTAAAAAATAGAGTAGGTCTGTGGGACATCGTAATGAAATAGTGAGTGTGGGCAGATGAGCAGAGGCTGTGATTTGGTGGGTGTTAGAAAGTGATGAATAGGAGAGTTTGGAAAGTACAGAGACTTGTGGTCTACACGTCGTCAATGTCTGGCACATGAAAGATTTCTACTATTCACGCTTTTTTTCTTTTAATGTTATTTAGTCAAATTTCTGGACACTACTACAAAGTTAAAACTATTAGGTGTGCCTCTCTCTGAATTTATTAATGGTGGTTTATAATCGTGATGATCCCAAGTTTTCTAATTGTGAGGAGCCAACTTTCTAACAGATCCCCATCAGAGGAAAGACTCAACCGAGGAATTAAACCAGCCAGACATCTTCAGGGAATTATGGGTAGGCAGTTTTCTTTTTAAGTGGCTTAATAAAGCATTTGAAAAATGCCATTGTGGGGCAAAGAGCACATGTCCAATCATTGCCTTTTTGGGGGAGGGACACTAGTCGGCACATTCTTATTTTAAGTTGCCTGAACTCCAGGGCTGCTCTGTGACTCCGAGGGTTCTCGGGGTGGCTCCAGCAGTTTAGGTTGGTGCTGGAGGAAGCCAGTGATCCACTGAGAGCTGGAGCAGGTTTCTACTGCAAATGACTCCAGAGCTTGGGCGTAGGGATGGAGATGAGTTGAGCTGGGAGTAGGTGGAAATCAGAAATTAGATATAGATTAGATAAGGACATACCAGTTTATTTCCCTCATTTTCAAAGAGTCTCTGGTTTGGGCTAATCTCCTGAAATGTCTCAAAGGTCCTTTCTTTGATTCTAGAACTACTTAGAACCCAAACTCTCTTTCCACTTTTCAAGCAAGGGGATAGCCTGAGCTCTGTGGCAGACCTGTCCCAGATCTTATCCTGAAACCCTTAAGCAGTGTTGAGCCCTGCATTCATAGTATAAAAGGCAACGCAAGTGGGTGTGTCCTTTTGGGCACTTGTCCCCCTCCAGGTTTTTCTTTTGTGGTTAAAGAATCTTGCACAGCAGTTCCTCAATGCCAAGCTGGAAGAGCCGCAGCTAATTTAACTACTCATGTGTTGAATGGGGTACTATTTCCATTTTGCAATTGGGTAGACTGAGGGATGAGATCTTTAATTATTTGATTTAAAGCCAGAGATCAACTCTGATAGATCTAGGACCAAATATACGGCCATCCTTTTGTTTGCTTTGAATTCCAAACATAATTCACTAGATTGTACTGTTTCTTGCACCCTTAATTAGCATAAGTTTAATTAGCATAAATTTTAGCTATTGCAACCATTTCTTTAGACCAATTACTAATTCTTAAAATAAATACCAGTGGTTTCAAATGAAGCCTTTTGAATTTATGGTCAAGTGAGGAGGAGTTGCAGTCATTTAAATGGAAATTATTCAGAAATTTGAAATGTACTTTTGCTTTTCATGCTCCCTCCAGTCAGTGTTTAGGCGAAGATAAAGAAAGTATCATGTTTGGGCTCCGAGCGCATGACTCACACCTGGACAGTAAAGATAAAGCGCACCTGCAGTGTAGTACGTTTCTGCAGAAGCATGCTTGTGAGAAACGAGGCCTCGCGTAACGTTTAAAGTGTAGACTCCAGGTGGGTCTGAATCCCACCTCCAGACCTTACTAGCTGGGTAATTCTGGACAAGTTCCTTAACTTCTCTGTGTATCACTTCTGTCACCTGTGAACAGGGCGTAAGGACGGTTGTGAGGATGAATGGAGTTAGAGCACACAGAGCACTGAGAGCAGTGTCTGGCGCTCACTGCTGCACTCAGGAAGCCCCAGTGAGTGAGAGCTCTTACTGGGGTGGCCTGCTCTGTGCCAGGCTCCTCACTGAGTGCGGCTATACTCATTGCCTCGTTTCATTTTCCCCATCAACCAGCCAGGTAATCCTCCTCTTTCCACAGCTAAAACAGTGTTAGTTGAACATTTGAATTTTTAAGCATCTTGACTGAATATGACACTGCATTGGTGACATTTTGATAGCTGTCATTGCATGGTTTAGTTCCAGCATCTTTCAGCACGTTCAGAAGCATCAACCTTTACATGTTGGGGCTTCTCCAGCAACAATTATAGCCACAAATGAAGAAAAGCTATACATGTTCCCATAAAATATCATTGAGATTTGTGTCACAGGCCTCTGGTGACAAAGATTTGTTTAACTGCTAGATGTCAGCTTTTTTTTTTCTTCTTCTTCTTTCAGATAAAATTAAACTGTGGAGTAACCAATCCATAAGAATAAATTAGTTTTGTAATCACAATTCTATAGAAAATCAAAACTGGTACCAGATATCTTTATAAGCATTTTTATTGTGAATATGTGGACAAATAGAGTGGGGCACCCCAAAGAGAAGATGTTGGAATTGTGGTTTGGGGCCAGCTGATGGCATTTCCCCCCTGGTGCAGCCCTTGATCTTCCCCACGCGCCTTCCCAGCCTGCAGCTACTTCGCTTTTCTGTGACCTTCTTCTGAATGTGAAGCTCTGAGTGCTGGTGCTTATTCCAGCCAACTCAGTAGGTGGACCAGGATAAGTTTTGTAATTAGTTTTTCTACAGCCCCAGCTGGCTACTCTCTGTTACATGTGGCTTCTTGTGTTATATAGGGTAAGTCAGTAGCTGCCTA